ATTTGTGTTTAATGTGCGTGAGTATTTCAGAATTGCGAGCTCAGAAGGAAGTAGAACAGAAACTCAGGCACATTAATGCCCAAGCTTCTTGTTACTTGTTCCTTCAATTTGGCCATGGATTCTGGATTATCAGCTATCTTCAGTGCAGTTGAATGTTTATATAGATGACGCACGCACAGTAAAATTTGCACAGCAGCTAAGTGTGGATTTCTGTTGTATTATTCCCATAATTCTTAATCACCATAGCCCGCCTCCGCATCATCATCATCAGGGAGGGGGCAATGGCTACTGGGGATGGGGAAGAAGCTGACATCAATATTTTCTGCTGCATTTTACACATTCACGCACATTAAGTACAAATCTCAAGCACATTAAGCACAACACTCACGCACATTGAGTACAAATATCACGCACATTAATCCACCGCACATCCGCACGGGAACCTTTCACTATATATATATATGTGTGTGTGTGTGTGTGTGTGTGTGTGTGTGTGTGAAATTGTGAGATCAAATCTTGTGCATCAATCAAATATTTTATTAGTCTAGATTAAGCGTGTGCAAATACGATAGATCTAGATTGGTCTAGTTGACATTGTGAGATCAAACCTTATGCTTCAATCTAATAAATTTAATGGTCTAAATTGATCTAGATTAAGTGTGTGCGAATGCGATTAAATGTGTGCGAATGTGATTTAAGTGTGTGCGAAACGCAATTGATCTAGACCATTAAAATTTATTAGATTGATGCACAAGATTTGATCTCACGATCTCCCCTAAATAGGCCTTCTCATAGGAACCCTCCTATATATATATATATGTGTGTGTGTGTGTGTGTGTGTGTGTGTGTGTGTGTGTGTGTGTGTGTGTGTGTGTGTAGATTTTGGTTCCCGTGAGAACAGGTCTTCCCGTGCGGCCAGTGCGGCATACACCATTAGGTATGCATAAATGTACCATACAGTGTTCGAGAATACACCAGAATGAAAGGCCAAAAAATGCACCACACACAAAAAAAAAAAAAAAAAAAAAAAAAATACACCACACATAATGGTGTATTTTCGAACACTGTGTGGTGTATTTATGCATACCTAATGGTGTATGCCGCACTGACCGCACGGGAAGACCTGTTCTCATAGGACCCTGACCCTATATATGTGTGTGTGTATATATATATATATAATTTTAAAGAGCATTTGATCTTTAATGAATCACTAATTATTAATTTTAGTTAAATATTGTGATCGTTTATGATTTGTGTTGAAGATCAAGCATTAAATTTAGTCTTTTCAATAATTATTTCATATTTTCTACCTTACCATGCACGTTTTTCATTTTTTCAGAGTTCCAGTGCACATTGTTCATTCTTTCAGAGCACATTGTTGTGCATTACAATGCACATTGTTGTGCGTTCAACCTTTAAACCTTACCATGCACATTTTTGCCTTTCCAGAGTTTCAATGCACATTGTCCCTTCTTCTAGAGCACATTGTCGTTGTGCCTTCAACCTTTAAGATCGTATGTGTTATATATATATATATAATTATATATATATATATATATATATATATATATATATATATATATATATATATATATAATTATTCACATGTGACCATGTTGTTAGGTGTGGTCATATGGTTAATTATAAGCCATTAGATTAGATAGATCCAATGAATAATATTAATCAAGATTCTTCCATTATTTTTGCGCACATTCTCCTACCCAACGATCGAACTGCAATGGTAAACTCATCATAAAGCACCGGAATAAGGAAAATCACATTGTTGTGTGTTTTATTACACTATTGGACTCACTATTGGTGCATGTTGTCAACACTGTTGGTGTATTCTGAAACCCGGCCGCTATAAATTGCCACTGTAATTACCATAACACGGGAATACACCATTGGTATGTTTCACTGTGTTGTATTTTATTACACTATTGGTGCATGTTGTCAACACTGTGGGTGTATTTTGGAACCCGCCCGCTATAAATGGCCACTGTAATTACCATAACACCCCCACTTATCAAAACGCGTGAAAATCTTCAAAATTACCACTGCCGTTAGATTAAACTGATTCAACGATACAGATACGACCACACCGCCACACCTAATGACATGACCACATATGAGCGCTCTTCTCTATATATATATATATATATATATATATATATATATATATATATATATATATATATATATATATATATATATATATATATATATATATATATATATATATATATATATATATATATATAGAGTAAAAGACATTTTTAGTCCTAAATTTATAGTGGCTTGGACAATTTTAGTCCTTTATAAAAAAATTTGCCATTTTATGAACAGAGTTATTGTGGCGAGGACATTTTTGGTCCTCCATCTATATTTATGTCAGATAATCGTCTGAGAGAGGGGTAATTACGTCAATTTAGGCTATCTCTTTCTATTTATTATATCTATGTGTGTTTTGTTTTCTTCTCGGTCAGAATTCGAAGGAGTCGGAGAGTCCAAGTTGCAGTTGTACGAAGAAATTGCCGGAGAATCGAAGCCGCCAAACAGGTTACCAATCAAATAGATAGAAGGAGAATCGAAGCCGCCAAACACACATTGATATAATATATAGAAGGAGATAGCCTAAATTGACGTAATTGCCCCTCTCTCATACGGTTATCTAATAGAAATATAGACGGAGGACCAAAAATGTCCTCAAAATATAGACAGAGGACCAAAAATGTCCTCGCCACAATAACTCTGTCCATAAAATGGCAAATTTTTTTCTAAAGAACTAAAATTGTTCAAGCCACTATAAGTCTAGGACCAAAAATGTCTTTTATCATTTGTTTGAAGAACAACTATTGAAATGACTAAATTTAATACATGTTCTTCAAACAAATCATAAAAGATCATAATATTCGCCACAACAATGTACACTGAAAGGCGAAATAATATGTATTGAAAGACATAACAATGTGTATTGAAAGGCAAAAATGTGTACTGCAAGGTAAAAATGTGTACGGTAAAGCACAAAAATATGCAACAACTATTGAAATGACTAAATTTAATACATGTTCTTCAAACAAATCATAAAAGATCATAATATTCAACTAAAATTAGTAATTAGTTATTCATTCAAAATCAAATTCTCTTTAATACATATTATTTCGCCTTTCAGTGTACATTGTTGTGGCTCATATATATATATATATATATATATATATATAGATTTAGGTTCTGGTGCGGTTAGGGTGCTCAGGTGCGGTTGTGGGGTTTAATTTGGGCCTTTCATCTCGCTTAAATCAACGTTCAGGATTATCAAAGTTTTAAAAAAAACGCGGTGGCAATTTTGTAATTTTTGCATCTAGGTCAAAATTAAGGTGAGCGGATTTGTGAGTTTTGTGCTTAATGTGCGTGTGTTTTGTGCTTAATGTGCGTGAGTTTTGTGCTTAATGTGCGTGGGGTTGTGCTTATCGTGAGTAGTTGTAAAAACTTAAAGTCTATAAGTTAATACTTAAAGTGCGTGGGTTTTGTGCTTAATGTGCGTGATGTTGTGCTTAATGTGCGTGTGTTTTGTACTTAATGTGCGTGAGTTTTGTACTTAATGTCAGTAGTTGTTGAAACGTAAAGTGTGTGAGTTAATATTTAAAGTGCGTGTGTTTTGTGCTTAATGTGCGTGAGGTTGTGCTTAATGTGTGTGGGTTTTGTACTTAATGTGCGTGAGTTTATGCTTAAGTTAACACTTAAGGTGCGCCTTAGCTTATACTTCTTTGTTCCAGACACGCGTTTTTTTTTTTTTTTTTTTTTTTTAATTTTCATTGATTTGGGCCGTTGATCTAAATTTGATCAACTGCTCAAATTTAACCGCACAACCACACGGGAAGCTATACCCGCACCTGAACCCTTCCCTATATATATATATATGGTGTATTGAAGTGGATGCCACCTTTGATTTGAAATCTCCCATCAATTAATGCGGTGATGGACACACAACTAAGATGAGGACCCAATATTGAAATATCCATTAGACACCAACTCGCAAGCTTTGGCTTCGTTATTGTAGATTTTTGTATCACGTTTTCGTAGTTTCTTTGTCGTCACATATGCGTGCAGTCGTGTACGGTTGACAAATGACAACGTTAATACTTGTCTGTCAAGACCACAAATGGGCCGTGTCTCCCACCGCCCGACTGCCCATTGCACAAGGCACATACATATAGCCCAACCCGAAAAGGTCCATTTTCCTTAATATAGTTGGCCTATAGTCTACGTATAAATAAGCCCGACCCAAACTAGCACAATTGTTATACCGTCGAACGTCGAACCGTGTCCGCCTTGCAAAGTGGATACATACAGTTCTATATTCATAATTACTGAACTCCATGTTCATAATTATAAAATTTTATGTTCATAATTTTTAAACTTCATATTCACAATTACTGAACTCTATGTTCATAATTACTGAACTCTATGTTCATAATTATAAAACTCTATGTTCATAATTTTTGAACTTCATATTCACAATTATTGAACTCGATATTCACAATTACTGAACTCTATGTTCATAATTATAAAACTCTATGCTCATAATTATAAAACTCTATGTTCATAATTTTTGAACTATATATTCATAATTATGACAGTTTTGGAACTGTGTCCACCTTGCAAGGTAGACACAGTTTCACAGTATAATTTGCCAAATTCACATGGATGGACTGATGGAGTATAAGAGATTAGGATAGGGATCTACAAGTGGATCAACACACATAAATGCATAATGATAGATATATTGTAAATGAGTTCACGTGATACTTTTTAATTAGTTGGTGTGGTTGGGTAATTAGGTGGTGTGACGCGAATTGTATCGAAGAGAAAGGTGGAAGGGGAAAGTTTGTTTATTCATCAAATCTGTTTATATACATGCAGAGAATACGTATATATGCAGAGAACGGTTGAAACAGAATGAATATAGGAAAGACTATAAAGTCCTTAGCTAACTGCTATTTCTATTCTCCAACACCCCCGTAAGGTGGCGCATGCAGGTCCTGGATGCCCAACTTAGATATGAAACTTCTGAACAGATTGGCGGGTAAAGGCTTTGTGAATCCATCTGCCACCTGATTTGTTGATGAGACCAATAGGAGTTTGATCAAACCATTCGAGACCTTCTCACGAACAAGGTGACAGTCTATCTTGATGTGCTTTGTCCTCTCGTGAAAGACATGGTTTTCGGCCATTGCTACAGCTGATTTGTTGTTATAGAAAAAAACTGCTGGCCTTTGCATGGTAGACTGCATATCTTCAAGTAGAAATGTAATCCACTGTACTTCACAAATGGTGGAGGCAAGTGCTCGGTATTCTGCTTCAGATGAGGATCTAGAAACCGTAGCTTGCTTCTTTGATCTCCAAGATATGAGAGCAGATCCAAGGAATACACAGTAGCCAGTTATAGACTTACGTGTTTCTATGCAAGCAGCCCAATCTGAATCTTTGAAAACATTGAGTTGTAGAGTGCCATCTCTGGGATATAACAATCTTTGTCCTGGTGCATTCTTGATGTATCTAAGTACTCTATGAGCAGCACTTAGATGCTTGTCAGTTGGGGTATCGATGAATTGGCTTAATTGCTGCACCGCATAAGTGATATCCGGTCTTGTGGTTGTGAGATACAACAAGCGACCGACAAGTCTTCTATAACCATTCACATCATTGAGAGGTTCACCATCACTATGACTAAGATGATATCCAGGCACAATTGGAGTGTTCACTGGCTTAGATTCCAGAAAACCTGTCTCAGCTAAGATGTCAAGAGCATATTTCCTTTGACAAATATTTAAGCCTGAATCATCTAGTTTTGCTTCAATTCCTAGGAAGTACCCCAGCACCCCCAAATCTTTGATTTTAAAGGCATCATCGAGCACTGCCTTTAGATTTTTGATCATGCCTAAGTCAGGGCATGTGACCAATATGTCATCCACATATACAAGAACTGCTATGAACCTGCCACCTTGCCCTTTTGTGAATAGCGATGGATCAGCTTTGGATTGGATGAAGCCCATGTCAGACAGAGCAGTACTTAGTTTAGCATTCCACTGGCGGCTTGCTTGCTTAAGGCCATATAGGGAACGAAGCAGCCTGCATACTTGATTTGGCTTCTCGGTTTGAAAGCCGGGAGGTAGGAACATATAGACTTCTTCTGTTAAATCACCATGTAGGAAAGCATTGTTTATATCTAACTAATGAATGTGCCAGGCTTTGGATGCTGCTGCTGCCAAGAAGGTTCGAATAGTTGTGATTCTAGCAATCGGTGAAAAAGTCTCAATGTAATCGACCCCCAACTGTTGAGTGTATCCTTTCACGACTAGGCGTGCTTTGTATCTTTCAACCGAACCATCCGCTTTCAGCTTAACTTTGTACACCCACTTACAGCCTATGGGTGTATTCCCAGCTGGTAGAGTGGTTAATTCCCATGTTTTATTGTATTGCAGTGCTTGGATTTCCACATTCATTGCTTCCCTCCAGTGATGATTTTTAATGGCTTGATTATAGGATTTTGGTTCATCAGCAGATTTCACAGCCATAGAGAAAGCCTTGTGTGACGGGGCTAATGCATCAAAGGCTATAACCTTCGAAAGGGGATGTGGTGACAAGCCTTTGTTGATTATAACATCACATAAGTAGTCTTGAAATTTGTTTGGGACACGCCTCTGCCTCTCTGATCTCCTTAGTTGAACATCATCATTATATGGCTCGTGTGGGATAGAGTCATGTTGTCCTACTTCTTGTGTGATTTCATGGTTAAGTTCGGGCAGTTCACCAGAACTAGACTGCTGCGGAGAACTAGCTTCATCATGATCTGTTGAGCCAGCTTCATTGAAAATATGTATTCCACTAATTGAGGGGTCTGCATTACAATCACCAGGTCCTTCTGATGTAGGCTCATAATGTATTTGAGTATCAATGGGAATGACAGGTAGAGATGGACCAAGCATGACAATTTCAGGATCAATTATTGCAGGATTCTTTTCTGAGAATGGGAAGTGAGACTCAAAAATTTTTACATCTCTTGATACAAAAATGGATTTGTCATCCAAGTCGTACATCAAGTAACGTTTTGTATGAGCAGGTATGCCTACAAAAATGCATTTCTTGCTTCTCTGTGACATTTTATGCTTAGAAGGTGATAAGTTTGAAGCATAGAAGAGACAACCAAATACCTTGAGGCTCAAAAGATCAGGATTCTTCCCATAAAGTTTGTGATAGGGAGTAGAGAATTCAATAACTGGAGAAGGCAATCTGTTGATGAGATACACTGCATGCATTACACATTGACCCCAGAATTCATGGGGTAAGGAAGCCTAAAACCGAATAGCTCTCGCTACGTTGAGGATGTGCTGATGCTTCCTTTCAACCACTGCATTTTGCTGTGGCATATAGGCACAAGATCTTGATGGATAATTCCTTTTTCTGCAAAAAAAACTCAACTATATTGAACTCTGCTCCATTGTCAGTCCGAATGGCCTTAATTAGAACCCCAAATTGAGTGAAAACCAGTGCATGAAACCTCATAATAAACTGTCTCACCTCACTTTTGCTTCTCATTAGATGCAGCCAAGTAAAACGGGAATAGTCATCTACCAAAGTTAGGAAGTAGTGATCCCCTTTCAAAGAACAAACTGGAAAAGGTCCCCATATGTCTACATGAACTAGATCAAAAGCTGCTTTTGAAGTTGTAATACTTAGGGGAAATGGTGGTCTTTTGTGTTTGGCAAGGTGACAAGCATCACATGCAAAATTCTTAACAGTAGTAGCCTTAATATCACTCAAAAACTGAAGTTTATTAACTGGGAAATGTCCTAACCTTTGGTGCCAAATCTCACCACTATTGCATTGTGATGCAATGCCATTATGAATAACATTCTTTTTTTTTGGTGGTTTCAATAGTAGATACAAACCATTCACCTGCTTAGCTAAACCAAGAGTCAATCCAACTGCATCCTGAATCAAGCACTGCCCAGGTGTAAATATAAGCTTATAACATGTATCTTGTAAAAACTTACTCACAGATATCAAGTTGAATATGAAGGACAGAATATATAGAACATCCTTCAACCATAGCTGCTCATTCAACTTAATATTGCCTAAGTGTTTAACAGAGATGGACTTCCCAGTAGGTAGACACACTTCAGCTCCATTAGTAGCATGATAGTCATTAAAGAAATCAGCAGAACAAACTATGTGATCTGATGCTCCCGAATCTAGAATCCAAATAGAGGGTGATAACAAAATGGAATTAACATGAGTAATAGAAGGCGTGCCTTCATTTGCAGAGCTGTCCTCACAAAATTGTGGAATCATAGCCACAACTGTTGTGGTTCTTGCATTTTTTATCTGTCCAGATTGAGCTCGAAGGAGAGAGATTAGCTTCTCCAACTGATCAGATGTAGTGGATCCAGCAGATGCATTCGAATCCATCATGGCTGAAGTAGAGCTTACAGCGGCTGATTGCTTTGCGGAATCGTTGGAGAAGAAAAGATTGTCCAAGTCCTCCAAGCTATATCCTCTCTGTTGCAGGTTCGAATTCCTCTGTGGAATCATTATTGACGATGTGCGTGCCGGCGAGTGTGTGATCGGCGTTGCTGCATGCCTCTCTTGTTCCGACTCGCCGGAGACGGCGGCGGCGTAGGAACTACGCCGTGGCTCTGATACCATGACGCAAATTGTATCGAAGAGAAAGGTGGAAGGGGAAAGTTTGTTTATTCATCAAATATGTTTTCAGTACTAACCAGAGGCTGGTAACTTCAAATATATACATGTAGAGAATACGTATATATGCAGAGAACGGTTGAAACAAAATGAATATAGGAAAGACTATAAAGTCCTTAGCTAGCTGCTATTTCTATTCTCCAACACGGTGCTCTTAGACGGTTATGACAGCTTATGTCTCAAGTGTTGTTGGTACAAATTGGTTAAATTGACACTTATAAGCTAAATAAATAAATTCGAATGACATTTCTCTCAACCAGCCAGGCTTGAGTTAGTTTTTCATATTTTTGATACTTGGATATAATACATTGGACTTATAGTTTGAATTATTATGCTAGTTGGCGAGTTATACAACCTTATTAATTTACATAGAGATAATTATGAAGGAGAAGATTTATTCCCCACATAGCCACATAGGAGTTATGTTCCTTGCATTTGTCCTGCCCCATTATCATGACTAATGATATAAATTTTTGGGTTGGTTACCTAAGACCCACGTAATAGCGGAGCAGCGCACTTTAACTTTTATAAATAAAGTATATAAAATTACAAATAGATTTACCTCTCGCACAAGTTCAAAACCATTAATGGGCTGTTTGGTTCACAGAATAAATTTAGAGGGAATAACAATACTATTTCATTGAGAATGAAATACAATCGTTATGTTGTGCATCTGTGTGCATCATGCATGGTGCACACGGATGCAAAAACGACGTCATTTTGACTAAAAACGCGCGTTCCACTTAAAAAAATATTCAGTTTCGATTCCCCTCAACAGCATTATATTGTTCATTCATTCTGGATTTTTATTTCATTGATTCTGGATTTTAGTTCATTGAATTTGGATTTTTAGTTCATTGATTCTGGATATTTAGACGGAAATTGAAACTGATTTTTTTTTTCATTCATGCTGGATATTTAGTTCATTCATTATGGATATTTAGTTCACTCATTATGGATTTTTAGTTCATTCATTATGGATTTTTAGTTCATTCATTATGGATTTTTAGTTCATTGATTCTGGATATATAGTTCAAATAATGCACAACATAAAGCTGTTGCTGGGAATCGAAACTGATTTTTTTTAAGTGGGACGCGCGTTTTTAGTCAAAGCGACGTCGTTTTTGCATGGTGCACACGGATGCACATCATAATTTGCCAATGAAATAGGTAAGGAATAGAATATGAATTATATTCTATTGTTTGGTTCGTGGAAGGAATAGACTTTAGGATTTCTATTCCTACGTTTGGTTGGTTAAGCAATAAAAATGGAATATATTTTTAAAAAACCTAAATGCCCTTGTAGAAAATATATTATTATTATTAGTAGGTGCACCCGCGCGATGCGTGGCTATATATATAGTATGATATATATATACAGTATAGAATATAGTTATTTGAATCTGACAAAATGTGAAATGAAAACTTGTGATTTTATTACACATTGATGAATATAGTAATTTTATTATACATTGTTGAAGACTTCATTGTTGAAATAATGTGATGCATGGCTACCTATATAGTACATAGAATATTACGTATAATATAATAATAATAAGAAACCTAGTATTTAAAAAAATACTAAATTTTAAATAATAAATTCTGGAAGTTATTATACATTATTGAAGACTTCTTTGTACAAAACATTTTTAGTCGTACTAAGACATGGTACACTTTCCCCGCAAATCAAAATTTTCAAACCCCTGGGGTTACTAACTCTTGAAACAGCTACGTATAGTTGTCCATGGTTAAAGACAGGTTTTTTCAACAACAACCCCACTTTAGCAAGCGTTTGTCCTTGACTTTTGTTGATTGTCATGGCATAGGATAGCATCAAAGGAAATTGCTTTCGTTGAAATTTGAAAGGCAATCTTGGATCTAACGGTGTAAGTGACATCCTAGGAATCAATACTCTGGTTCCTGCATTTGTACCGCACATGATTTGGCCTTCCAACACATGGTCAGCCAACCTTGTAACAATCAACCTTGTACCGTTGCATAATCCTAGTGTGTGATCAATATTTCGCAATAGCATAACAGGTGATCCAACTTTCAATGTCAAAGCATGATTTGGTACTCCAGAACATCGCAAGGCATTCAAGAATTCGGGAGTGTGCAAATCCACTAACATGTCAACATTGGCATCTGACTTACACACAGAATCACAACTCAAGTATGTCTTACCCTCAGCCGGATTATGATCATTCATGTATTGGTTAACGGCATCTAGCACATCCAATGTTGGAGCTAAAATTGCACTATGATTAAGATATGACAAATCGGCAATTCCCAGTCGGAAATTAGGGAAAGTGCTATCAACAATTGTAGCAATAGGGTCATCTTCGCACTTCAACAACAAATCTTCTGGAACAGTAATATCGGACTCCCCATCAAGTTTACTACCAATAATTCCGTCACCTATATTAGCTATCCATTTTGCAAATTCCTCGATCTCCTTGCACTCGTTTTCTGATTGAACACTTTTCAAACATAGATTCTTAGTAAGCCTTAGGACTTTACAGGATTTCTAGAGATAGGATGAGCTAATGCTCGCTCGAACTATATCCGGTCTAGTACCCTTTGGAATGACTGGTAAAATTTGCCTGAAATCGCCCCCCAAAACAACTGTTTCACCACCAAATGTCATATCAGAACTCCTTGGATTTATGAAGCGCATCAAATCCCGCATAGTTCGGTCAAGGGCTTCAAAGCAGAATTTATGCATCATTGGGGCTTCATCCCATATTATCAACTTGGTTTGCACAAGTAGTTCTGCCAGTTCACTGCCGTTACGTATGTTGCATGTGGAATCTTCATTAACAGCTATCGGTATAGCAAACCGAGAATGTGCCGTCCTCCCACCAGGTAATAAAAGCGAAGCTATGCCGCTAGAAGCAACATTTAACACTATTTGACTCTTAGACCTTAATGCGGAAGAAAGTGCTCGCCACAAGAAAGTCTTACCGGTCCCTCCATAACCATAAACGAAGAATAACCCCCCTTCCTTGCGATCAATGTCAGTTAACACTTCATTGTATATGGCCTTTTGTTCGTCTGTTAACTGCCTTACCAATTCCTGATTCTCTTTCTCCTGTTCGCCACAATCGTATGCTAATTCTTCTTGAATAAACCTATTTGCAATAACGTTTAAGGCACCAAAATTTGCCGTTGGCATTTCAGGATAGTCCTTCAAACTCTTACCATGAGTAGATAATAACTTCTCAATCTCTACTAAGGCAAACTTCATTTTGTGCGAATCGGTCAACACAAAATCTGCATAAATATATATTAAAATTTGGTGTTATAACACAACTACGTTAAACTTGACTTAATATTTTTTTAAAAATGTAAGATTACCTCTGTTCTGCAGTTGTCTACGGACGTTGAATTGTGCATCGTCTGATAGATGTTGCCACACAGCATGCCAAACTATTTCCGGTTTCCCCATGCAACTGCTCATTAGCAATGTCACAAAGAATCTCCTCAATTGATCTGCTGACACCCAATTACTGGCTTCATCTATTGCATCAACATATTCGTTATCATCATCAACTAAACCCCTTGCATAACACGCATCTCGGAATGACTCATATTGCACCCCATTTACAGTCCTAATATCTTCATAACTTTTAGGGCCACGGATTTTGTTCAGCAAACACCTCAAATAGAAAATTTCACCAGTAGCTGGCGGGACATAGAATATACGTCCTATTGAGAAGCCTTTCTTTCGTGGCCGCCATTTTCTAAGGTCTTTCTTCCAAACGAATCGTGTTGGCATCTCAACATAAGTAAGTTCTCTCGCATCGGGGTATGTTTTATTTGCTTCAAACCATTCCAAAAACATGCTCTGTGTTATCGTAGGTCTATTCACAATGTTCTCAACAGCATCATCATCTGTAAATATCACACTCTGTTGATTAGGAAGGTGAAAGCTTAACCTTTCCACTGAAGGCGCCCGAAGTTGTATATCAAAACCAAACAGACGCCAAACCGCTTCACATGGGGATATGTACCTACAGTCATAGTACATATTTATCTCATCTATTGCTTTGCCATTCTCGTCATCATTGCCTGTTTTGTAAAATTCGGCGGTCACCCGATCATGACCCTTATTAACATACTTGAACAGGTACTTGATTGGCCGTGACTGGTTGCCATGGTTGCAAAAATCGCGCCTAGGCGCCCGGCCGCCGCCGCGAAGAAGGCCGGAATCGGCCTCCTCCGTGGCCGGCCGGCTGAACCGGCGTTTAATTATTTTATTTATTTATTTTTTATTTTTTTTTTGCGTTTTAAATTGCAAAAATTTCGAGAAGGCATAACTTTTGACTCGGTTGTCCGTTTTTGACAATTTTTGTTTTCAAATCGCGTATTGACTCGGTTGTCCGTTTTGGTCCACTAATTTCTCAAAAAAATGCTTCTTTAGCTCTTAATTTTAGTTTTTTATGTATTTAGATGGTTTAAACAATCTTTTGAACACTTTTACAACTACTTTCGTAAATAGTTTCTAAGAAATAACTATGGAAACTTTATGTTTTCTTACTAAATTTTTAAAAAATTTAATTTTAAATTTTATTTTTAATTAAAAAAAATAAAAAAATAAAAAATAAAAAAATAAATCGGCGCCCTAGGCGCTAGGCGCCCCCTTGCCGCCTAGGGTGCTCCTAGCGTGTTTTGCAACATTGCTGGTTGCACCACTCGACATTTATATGAGCCTTATACTTGAGCAATAAATATCTATTGTGCGGTACCACATACCTGTTGTCCAAGGCGATCCCGTTCTTTGTAACTATACTGCCATTGTCTCTCCTTCTATATACCGGGTAACCATTGTCATCAAATGTAGAACTCTCAACAAATCTCTTAGGAAAATGTTTAGAGCATCGCGCATTTACCATACATGGAGAATTGGTCCTCGCTTTCCCACATGGACCATGCATCATAAATTCCTCTACCGCTTGGTAATACTCTGCATCTTTCTTTTCATCTGGAATCTCTGCGCAAATTATGTTTTCTAGAGTAAGAACTTGCCTAAGTTCTTTACTTTTCTCCAAAAAAAGTAATATATGAGCATGCAGAAGACCTCGCTTTTGAAACTCAATTGTATATATGACTGCAACAACATAGACATAAACATCATAAGGTTAAGTAATTACATAAAATTGTAACAAACTTGATTTAAAATAAAATAACAAATATTACCTCCAGCCACAGGGCCAAATAGTTTATTCTTTCGACAATCAGCTATCAAAGCATCCAACTTAATCTTGAATAATCGGCAAATTATGTCCGGCCGATCTTCTGCCTTCAACCTTTGATCTTTTAAAAAGCGTTGCACCTCAGGCCACTTCGGATTGCATGTAAAGGTTATAAATAAATCTGGGTATCCAATCCATCTACATATTGCCATTGCATCTTGGTAGTTTTGTATCATGTATCTAGCACCACCCGTAAAACTTGAAGGTAGTATTATTCTGCGACTTTGGGCTGCCGGGCTTAATTCACCCCTTGTCAAAGCATCAGTCAATCCACTATAACTCTCACACCTTAGGCTTTTTTGGTGTGTCCTTATATAAATTAGTCTTCCAGACTCAACCATTGTGTAGCCATCTACAACAAACTGTTGGAACAACCGCTTTGCAAATAATATGGTACTCGGAGCTGACTGTCTAGACTGTATGCGGTAGCAAAAAAACTCCCTGGGACTAATCCTCTGTCTACCACCTGAAGAGTGCTTGCCTACTACGTTCGCGAATGCAATGTCTTCCCGATAACCGTCTTCGCCATATGGAAACAAAAGAGGGTATTGCAGTGGTAAGTATGAAGAATTTAATTCACTTATCCTCTGTAGGTGGCCACCCTTCGATTGAACAATAATATCACGCTCTCCAATACTGGTATCCAGATCTCCCACAATTAAAGCTGCTACTTCAGAAACTTGCGGCAGATTATAGGTCCTCGCATCTCTAGTTCGTTTTCCCAACAACTTTATTTTGACTTCGGCGCATGGATTAATATCTAGCTCAGACATAGCCATCCGAAAAGACTTAACCAAAACATTATTTTCATCGAGGTCTTTCTGAATGACATTCACTATTTCTACATGAATGTCATCTTGCTTACCACTACCCTAACAACAACATAAACTTTGCATTGATATTTATTTAGATAAAAAATAGTATTTAATGTGTAATTACGCAAACTTGTTTACCTCACAGCATTTATACGGTTGATCTTTTCATTTGCCGTGTCGTATATGTATAACTGAGCAAAATGAGGTTCTTTGCCTTGTTCTGGAAGTAGAGTGCCCAATAGGTGATAGTTTTGTGTAAAAATTCTTTTGATAATTCGTCATTGCCGAAAAAGAGATCAAATATACTTTTTGGTGGCAACTTATTCTCCGGCAACTTGATCTTCCCATTGTTGCAACACAACATAAACAGTGGCGATGCTTTTGTTGACAAATTCTTCTTCCTTTCTTCAAACCAAAACAAAGCCCCACAATGGACGCATTTATTTGTTGCATCACCAAAATCGCAGTATTGAGCTGCAACCAAGGAGTTCAAAATGATATACTGATTGATCTTTTATGCAGTTATAAAACAAATATACCTACCATGTTGTGGACCAGAGGATGTCCCAATATCCGAGGTCTGCCTTACATCGTTACTCGATATATCCGCATCTGAAATTAAAAATACATTTAAAAATCAATTTTAATAGTTGAAGGTTTGCATATGTACTTTACTTATAGTTGTTTCAAAAACCAGGAGATTATCTTATTACCTGCTATGTACTGATTTGTGGCTTCGATCGTTTTAGGGTTACATTCATCTTCAAAGGCAGATAGCAAGTCTCTTTTTGTTACATGGTCTTCGACAATTGCATATTTATGTAATGGTTTACGAATTGCAAATTCATCTTGTGTTATCGTCGATGCAAGTTTTTGTTTATCTACAAAAACAAATCGCCGGCCAATTAAAACTATTTGTGTATTGGACGAACGTACTGTACACATACGTAATATTAGACAAATTTAAAGTATAACAATATTTAAAGTCACAATTAATTTAAACCCCTACATTTTAGGGGACTATAAAAAAATATACTTTAGCACATAATAACAAAATAAATTATAGAAGTCTTAATATTATAAATTAAGTACACCTAACATTATTACTTATGCTAGCCTAGAATATGAAATAGTAACTTCACTGTATAAGTATTATATTTTAGTGGAAAAATTATTAGGTAGACCATGGTCCACAAAAATTTGTGCACCCTAAATAGAATTAGAATGAAAAAGTATATATCATTAAGTACAATCTAATCAATCAATTACACATAACAAAAGAAATTTAACTATTGTAAAGAAAAATTAGAAACTGATATTAAAATGTAAATCATATGAAGACAAATTAGTGCAATTACAATTCCACACAGAGTTCTATGGATCATGAGTTACATTATAATTATAACATTTAATTTGACCAACATTTTTTAAGAATTAAAACTATAAGGATATTTAAATTCACAATGAATGTATATTAATTCATCTTAGGGGATTTACCGTTAGTGATGTTACTCAATGGTGTGATATTTTCAGACAAACATCCTCCAAAAGGAATTCGTGAAGGATTAGTTGCTGTAGGTTGCTCTTTAGCTTGAGCAGCATTATTCGTAAAAGATGAGTTGCCGAAATAATTTGCTGTGATATAAAATATAACATTAAATTAAGAATTAATTCCAAGAATTATAACTCGTAACAATACAGTACACATAACATAAATATTTTGTCAATTGCACAACATTAATATGTAATCGAATAGAAGTAGGTAGACCATGGTCCACAAAAATTTGTGCACCCTAAATAGAATTAGAATGAAAAAGTATATATCATTAAGTACAATCTAATCAATTAATTACACATAACAAAAGAAATTTAATTACTTCACAGAAAAATTAGAAATTGATATTAAAAAGTAAATCATATGAAGACAAATTAGTGCAATTACAATTCCACACAGAGTTCTATGGACCATGAGTTGCATTATAATTATAACATTTAATTTGACCCACATTTTTTAAGAATTAAAACTATAAGGATATTTAAATTCACAATGAATGTATATCAATTCATCTTAGGGGATTTACTGTTAGCGATGTTACTCAATGGTGTGATATTTTTAGACCAACATCCTCCAAAAGGAATTCGGGAAGGATTAGTTGCCGTAGGTTGCCCTTTAGCTTGAGCAGCATTATTCGTAAAAGATGAGTTGCCGAAATAATTTGCTGTGATATAAAATATAACATTAAATTAAGAATTAATTCCAAGAATTATAACTCATAACAATTCAGTACACATAACATAAATATTTTGTCAATTGCACAACATTAATATGTAATCGAATAGAAGTAGGTAGACCATGGTCCACAAAAATTTGTGCACCCTAAATAGAATTACAATGAAAAAGTATATATCATTAAGTACAATCTAATCAATTAATTACACATAAGAAAACAAATTTAACTATTGTAAAGAAAAATTAGAAATTGATATTAAACATGAATTACATTATAATTATAACATTTAATTTGACAAACATCGTTTAAGAATTAAAACTATAAGGATATTTAAATTCACAATTAATGTATATCAATTCATCTTAGGGGATTTACCGTTACTGATGTTACTGAATGGTGTGATATTTTGAGACAAACAACCTCCAAAAGGAATTTGGGAAGGATTAGTTGGCGTAGGTTGCTCTTTACCTTGACCAGCATTAGTCCTTGATGATGAGTTGCCACAATAATTTGCTGTGATGTAAAATAAAAAATTAGAAGACTATAATAACAAAAGTAATTACAGCAGTTAAAATTTTATAAATTAATCACATCTAACGCTATTAATTATGTTAGCCTATAAGTTGAAATTGTAATTGCTATAAATAAGGCTTACCTAATAAGTGGATCAATAATTAGGTAGACCATGGTCCACATAATTTTGTGCACAATAAATACCATTAGGTGTAAAGTATATTTCATTAATACCAATCAAAGTATTATTGTAATACTAAACTATACCATGCAAAGTGGTATGGTCCATTAATTACATTATAATTATACAATTTAATTATACAGACATTTTTTCCATAATTTAAAATATAAGGATTTTTAAATTCACAATGAAGGTATATCAATTCAACTTAGGGGATTTACCGTTAGTAATGTTACTCAATGGTGTGATGTTTTGAGACAAACACCCTCCAAAAGGAATGCGGGAAGGATTTATTGCCGGAGGTTGCTGTTTTCCTTGAGCAGCATTATTCCTTGATGATGAGTTGCCCAATTCATTTTCTGTGATATAAAATATAACATTAAAATAAAAAATAATTCAAAAAATTAAAAACCCTAAAAATGAATTACACATAACATAGTTAACATTACAACATTACTTTGAAATTGTTCAAGATTTGCCTAACATTTATGAAGAAAGTAGTTGGTGTGACACTAAACACACCTAACGGATAATCTAATTATGCTAGCCTATAACCTGAAATTGTAATTGCTATAAACAAAGATTACAGTTTAGTGGACAAATTATTAGGTATAACATGGTCCACAAAATTGTGTGCACAATAAATACCATTACAATGAAAGTTTATATATCTAATTAATTACACATAACAATTCAAAATTAAATAATATGAAAACTATATATATATATATATATATATATATATATATATATATATATATATATATATGTTTGTTCGGTAGGAAACGCGTGAGATGAGGAAGAAGGGTGAATGCCCTTCTCCTTTGCATGTCTGAACAGATCTGATTCTTCACCATTTCAAAACGATCTTCCGATCTCTCTCTGTCAAGCCTAAATCTAGATCAGTCCTTAATCGTTATCTCGGATTCAATTGTTCTTATTGAACATTGTTTCCGCAGAAATTGTACTCGGGCCTAGATGAGCATCGCCCAGTTCTCAGTACATAATCATGATCTTTCATTTCTGTGAAAGATCGTAGTGTTCAATAACAGTCAATGGTGGAAATCGCGATGCAGTGAAGCTAATTTTCAACTAATAAGGTTAGTATGCGTTAAATTTGCAGTCAATTTGTTTAGGGTTTCCTATGTATCACTGTTGTCCATTCTAAACTTGATCTATTTTTCTGGATCTAATCTACTTACTTTCGTAAGAATAGTTAAGCATGCAGATCGACAATCATAGATAAACTCTCATAATTTCATATTTGTATGATTCATAGCAATTAGGGTTCTAAATCGTATTCTTTGTAGTGTTGCTCTAAAAACACCCAATTGAAATTACTGTTAACTGTGTAAATATCATGTTCAAAATGCTATAGCTATATTATTATTCACACAAACCCTAAACTCTAATCGACTTTATCATGTTGTTTTTTTATTGACATACTGAAATTATTTGAGGAGATGGAGAGCATAAACAGAATCGCACAGCAAGAGGGATGCTCCAATGCATCTTCATTTCAAGTATGAAAAAGATAAGTTTCGAACTTACCTTTATTTTCCTCACTTGGTTTCCTTTTGATGCCTATAATTGTTGACTTAGTGATTTTCCTCATTGTATTGTCTATTGTGTGTACTTGAAAATGTAGATGTGAATTTTCTATTTGGCTGATGTCTGAAATTGGAGAACTGTTTTGGGAGTTAGATGGGGCATCTTTCTTTAGATGGGTTCATTGTAGTTTATTTAACTTTTGCCTTGATTTTGAGAATAGGACTGGAACTGAAGGGTTTTCTCTTAATAGTAATGATAGCTGGCAATCAATTATATTTAATGTTTAGGGAATGTGTTTCTTTCCCTAAGAATGATTAACTTTTACTTCACAGGCCAATAATTCAATTTTCTTCAATTTCTTTAGATAAGTTGTAAGAACATGGAACACACACATTGATTCTTTGCTTCTAAAACTCTTCAATTCTCTGTTATGCCAGTGGATCCTTTTCCTCTTGGTGTTGTTATTATTTATTCTGAACACAAATTCTAACCTTTTTTTTTCTTATTCTTTTTAGAATGAAATAATCCAAGCTCTGGAGTAATTGAAGAGCAGCAAGCAGAAAATAAGCGTTCAATCAAAGACCACTAAAAGCACTATGGACATAGCACCTAATAGGTTAAGATTTTATCTTTATTTGCCTGACTTTAGATTAGTTTGTATGCATATACTTGCATAATTTGTAAGTTTGTTCACTTTACTTTGTAAGGCAATAGACACTTTGAATTAAAAAGACTTTTTTCAACAAATGGTCCTCAAGTATAGACCCAGTTCATCTGTTTTTACTTCCATTGTTGTCAATTTATTTAGATAATTTGTAGGAACATTGAAAACACACATTGATTATTTGATTCTAATAATCTTCAATTCTCTGTTATGCCAGTGTATCCTTTTCCTCTTGGTCTTGTTATTAAATATTCTGAACACAAATTCTAACCTTTTTTTTTTTTTTTTTGTTATTCTATTTAGAATGAAATAATCCAAGCTCTGGAGTAATTGAAGAGCAGCAAGCAGAAAATAACCCATCAATCAAAGACCAATAAAAGCAATATGGTCATATAAGCAAATAGGTTAAGACTTTATCTTTATTTGCCTGACTTTAGATTAGTTTGTATGCATATACTTGCATAGTTTGTAAGTTTGTTCACTTTACTTTGTAAAGCAATAGACACATTGGATAAAAAAATACTTTTTCCAACACATGGTCCTCGAGTATCGACCCAGTTCATCTATTTTTATTTCTAGTGTCTTTGATATCTGGATGAGTATACCAGGAATGCAATAGTTTTCAATTTTTTTGTTTGACTTTGGTGCATTGTTTTATTCTATATCAGTATAGAAGTCAGATTTGTGTAGGATCAAATTATTTTTCTAATTAAACTGGATTCTCAGTTTTTTAGTTAACACAGTAATGTTAATTACTTATTTGGTTTTTTCTCTTTGGTTAAAACTGGTATAATGTTCCTTTACTGTGTCATAATATTCTTTTAATGTGTTTTATTGGAAGCAACAACTTTGTTTTATTAATAATTAGGCACTAACCTAAGATTAGTACTTAGTTTCACAATCAAGTTTATTTTGAAGCTTAACCTTAGATTAGTACTTATGTTCTGCAAAAAAATTTAACACATTCTCAAAACTTGAACAGTTTAGACTGATCTAAAACATTGTTTCACTAAATTGCATTTTATTGAGTACTCTGAAATTGGGTACTGGAGCATTAACTGTTTTATTGAATATCACAGTTTATTACCTCTTAATAATCTGTGTATTTTACATTACAAATATTGAATTTAGGTGCTGTTATCTAATTTCTTTTTAAATGTGCTAGCAAATTTTGATGGATACCAGCATGGACATCAAGTGCATTGGAGAGTTACAAACAGAGTAAAAGAAGATTTTGCAAATAGGTGAGTGAAACTAACTCTATTTTTTAGGCACAAGGTATTTAGATATAACAGTTTAGAATTGGAATATTATTTGCAAATAACTGTTATGATTAAATATTCTTAGTAACTTACATATATACTCTTTTATAGTAGTAGTTTAACATGTAATTGAACCTATACAAAACTACAACTACAAAGTCTCAGTTTCTTGCCAAACTATTTCCATTATGTCTGCATTTTAAAACCTTGGCCACCTATCATCCTTGCTAACCTTGGCCACCTATCATCCTTGCTCTGAATAACCTGAAAGGAAGATTAGAAAAACTGCAAAACAGGTTCTAATAGCAGTAGATACACCAATGTATTGTAATAAACAGTTAGGCAATCACTCAAAACATTAGTTAAAACTTATAAAACATCCCAAAAACTAAAATTTAATAAGTGTCACACCACAGGATTAGGATAAAAATAGTCAATATGTCTGGATAGTATCAGGCTAACAACAATCACTTTCAACCATGAATCGAATTACATTTTTTCCTTTTTGATTTCTGAGTCAGTCAACTTCTTCCTACTTTTGGATGATGAAAACTCATCCAAAAGTGACCTTTTAATAGCCCCAGAGTTTTCAGCAGTGTCGTCTCCTTCCTTTTGCGATGGCTGCACAGTGGCAGGACTATTCACTTCAACTCCAATCGAGTCTTCCTGTTATTAAGAAAAGCAGTAACCTTATTAGTAACCATCATAAAAAAAAAATCATAGAGCTTAGGGTTTCAAATTCTTACTTCAGAAATTGCATCGGTGTTAGTTTCCTCCTCAATCATCCTAGAGATTAAGTCTTGCTCTTGATGCTCCACAAACCTGTCACTATAGGTTTTCAGCAAGTGCTCATCCCTGACAATCCTCACAACATTGAATGGGTAATTGGGACCCATCTTTAGAGCCAGTTTAAAATTGATCTTAAACAGCATCTTCATTCCAACTATAGCATCCAACTCAGGTGGCACTTCAACATCAAGCTGTTTAGGTAGGTGATAAATAACATAATTAAAAACATAGAATAAACAGTATAGGAAAAAAATGTTGAGAGCCAATTAGAAGAATTTACCTCCTTGTATTTTGCATACAAAATAGAGGCAGGAATACCCACAAGTTCTGCCACTTCTCTATCCCAAAGCAACATTGGAGCATCTCCAGATTTGTCAAGAGCAATAACAACTACTTTATATCTAACTGTACCCATCATACAAGTCTTTTTACACTTAGTACAAAAAAGTGATCCTTCCTGCTCTTTTAGTTTCTTATTACATCCAAGTTTCAGGCATGATAAGTAGTACCAACCATCCTCAGAATCTCAGCAGCCACATAGCATTCCCCATCCTATAGTATACAAATCATTTTATAAGTATATATAGAAATTAACAAAATCAGTTACATCAAATAAAAGAAAGAAATGCTAGCTTAGTGTGTGGATTACCTCTTTAACCTTCTTAATATCATGGCAGTTAGTTACAATAACAGAAACATTATTAAACTCACTAATGCCTGTAGAGTTTGAATGTAGTGTGCCAGTACTAAGACTTCTCATTGGAGTACCCTCAGCTTTCAACCTTCAAAAATATTAGAAACTTTTTTACATATGTGTTTAAACAACCTAACAACAATACAGTATACAACATTTAAAATAGCTATCTTATTTTTTGAGTGGTTGTTTACTAAAGTTAAAGAAATGCATACACTGTACAACATGCTACTTGAATATATATACAGAGTACAACATATATTAGATCCCAGTATATATAGAATTTTCTATACTATGTATTTTTTTTTTTTTAGAATCCAGTACACAGATGTTAAAAAATATATATATATCTTGTCTAAAATCTTAAGTACAGAGTAGAGCATACATTAATAAAGATAAATATAAAAAATAGGAGAAATATAAAAGATTAACTTACTTTGACTTAAACTCTTGAAATTCTTCAAAATCCTCATTGAACCAAAGCTTCGTAGCATCATACGAACTGGTTATTCTCACTTCACCTAAAAAAATGTATACAAATAGATGCACTTATTTATAGATACTATGTTTTTAGAAAATAGAGGATCATGTGTTTAAACAATCCATACTAAAAGCAAAAAGGTGGATTGATCAATAGATTAGGACAGAAAACAGTAGAGAAACTCACCACCCACAACTTTAGCCCTACAGCATTGAATGACAACAATCAGTGGTTCTTTCGAATCACTATTGTAAAAAGGCATAAGGGAAGATACATGTTCATTCCAGAGTGTACACATCATGGTGTTCTCACTGGATTAGAAACAGAAAAAAACAGAAAAGTATTACACAAAAAAACCACTGCATCATTTTCTAATGTAATCAAAGTTCATTTTCAAAAACTTACGCATTGTCTTCAATTTGAAAGTCGATTAGTTTGGTGGCCTTTCCCCCTATAATCTTGTCCACAGAATTGTAAATCTCAATTACCCTTCCAATAACATCTGCTAAATTAACAAAATATTAGAAAGAAGTACTGAAAATATAATAAGAAATATATTAGCAGTTAGGAAAGGTAAAGTTAGTACCAATCAGTTCCTTGTCATTCACATCATCAGGATCTTTCAAAGCCAAAAAACTCTTTAGTCTAAACATTTTGCAAGGAAAGCCATTAGAATGTATTTCCTTCACTTGTGTTTTGTAGTTGAATTTGAGCATGAAACCATGCTTTGTAATCTTGTAGACATAGTAGTTTGTAGAAGCCATGAAGTTCTTGATTTCAAAGATTTTCCCTTCCTTTATTGTATCTCTATACTTTCCAATGTCTTTTTTAATAATACTCGCATGAATGTAGTCTCCCTGCGAATACAATAGACAAAAAATTATAGACAGCAAAAGACTATTAGATTATTAGATAACATGGCATGAAAGTAGCCACATTGAAAGACCATTAGATTAGTAGATAAAATCAGATTGGCAAATAAATAAAAGTACCTCTTCATCATGGAACAATACTTCCATGCTCTTACTGGCCTGCCCCTCTCCCCTTTTCTCAGGAACTTCATAGACACATACTGCTCTCACTCTGATTGCCCGGAGCTGGTGTTTCGGCTTTATGTTTTTGACAACAATGAACATGGAAGGTATCTTGAAACACCAAAAATGCTTTCGAAAAGGTAGTAAAGTGAACTGAATTTGTGAAGTGTTTTGGCATGAAGAAGCCAGGTATTTATACAGATTGAAAATTCAAAAAAACGAAGATACCAGGAGCCAATGTTTTGGAAATCGCACATCTCAATTAATGTGTATTTGAAGATTGCAACTCTGCATATTCTATGTAATCTATGTAATCTATGTAATATATATAATTCTTTCTTGTAGGCCGGATCAGTTCATTATGCTTTGATATTAATATTAATCATCTTGTTTACACTACCAAGAGTTCTACATTAATTGAACTCCTTGGGAACCAAGGATTGTATAATAATAAGAACGACTAGGCATATTCCCAATGCAGAATCACCTTACACGCGCACAATGAATAAGCAATTCGATCGCTAAACAGGCCTAAAGCAAAACGGCGTAGTATCAATTGGACGGGAAACAATGATTGGCAAAACTTCTTGCTTTATTATAGAGTTAGATTATTATTGATGGGGTATGGACCCCGGCCCAAGAAGGATTAAGAAAGTCCAAAAAGAATGGAGAAGCCCAAAGAAAAATAGGGAAGCCCAAGAAGAATGAAATACGGCCCAAGGAGTGGGAGTCCGAGAAGTAACAAGGCACGAAAGCGACTCGGACCGAGTCCGGGAGTCGGGCCGACCCCGAGGTCGGGATGAGGACTCGGCCAGGAGGGCAGAGAGCCGTTGGAAGACATTAAAGAGGGCATTGAAGAGCCCAGCCAAGGAGCCGTTGGGAGGCCCAGTAACGGCAGCCCAACGGCCCTGCGATATAATTAGCATTCACGACCCCTTAATGTACTTTAAAACCGAATTAAAGGAGGGCCTACTATATAAAGGCCCCTCCAAAGATGTAAAACAGGCGAGTCCATACCCAGAGAATAGAGAAACACTTTTGCTACTCTTATTCATTCCTTTCTATTTTTCCAGCTTTATCGAAAGGTGAATCCACCAACCAAGGTTGTGTTGGACCTCCCTGTGCCCAAAAACCCTAAAACCAACACTGGCGCCGTCTGTGGGGATCGAAAAAAAGAGTCACGTCCATTCTTGAGCATTGGAATTCGCAGAGAAAGACGAGCGAGTGAGAGAATGTCTGAAGGACGAAGCCGTGCCTCCAACCGTAACCGCGAGCCGGAAGCCGACTTAAGAGATCGGTTGAACCAGCGAAATTCGCAAAGTCAAGAAAATGATTCGGTACCCCGAAACCAACCCCCGCCGATGATACCTCTCACCCTTGAGCAGATTCGGGCCATTGGACGAGCAATCGCTGCTGAGAACCGGGAAAGAGGAGAACCGTCGACTTCACGACCACCACCACGCGACCAGCAAATACCCCAAAGGTCGGATGGGGACAGGCGAGGAGATCGACGAGCAGAGAATCCGCCGACGCGGTCAGTCCATTCGAGGCTAGGCCCGAATGCAACGCGCCCATCAGCGAGAGAACGATTGGGGAAAGAGAACCCAGCCACGCATCGGCAAACCAACGAAATCGAGAGGTCACCCGAGAGAAAACCCGCACCAGGAAACTCGAACTCGGGCACGATAGACCGAGCAACCTACTCGCAATGAAGAGCGGCAGGCCGAGTCGCAGGTCGGCGAAAGCACCGAGTCCACAGGAAATCACACCCGAAACGTAGAAGATGTGGCCCACTTGGCCCAAGAGCTACGGAATTTGAAGGAGCAAGTGGAAGGTAGAACCAAGTCCCCAGGTCGGACGTTGCTCACCGCCTTGCCCTTCTCGGCCGAGATTATGGCATACAAGATACCCGTCGACTTTAAGTTCCCAGAACAGGCCACCCCTCGACGGATCCGGTGACCCGCGCGAACATCTTTTGAGTTACCAAGCCAAAATGCAAGTGCTGGGGGTCCGGGATCCCGTCATGTGTCGCGCTTTCCTGCAAACGCTGAAGGGCTCGGCGCAAAGATGGCTCGTGGCCTTACCCCCAGGCTCAATTCGCAGCTTCGAAGAGTTGGCCGATCACTTCATGAGTCATTATGCGACTCAGATCAAACCGCAAAAGGATCTAACACATCTGGGAGATATCTGTCAAGAGGAGGGTGAATCTCTCAAAACTTACCTGGCCCGGTGGCAAAAGAAGATTCAGTCCATCGAAGAGGTAGAGGACCAGACTGCCCTCACCTTCTTCATCGAGTCGCTGCGATCTGGCCAACTTTATCGCGACCTTAGGGACAACCGGCCCGCCACCTATGCGGAGGCTATTCACATGGCCAACAAGCGAGCTAATACGGAACAAGCCGTAAAACATAAACGACAACGTGAAGTCGGAGGATCCTCTAGGGGGAAGCGAACCCGGGCGGAGGTACGGGAAAGACGTCCAGACCCAGCCCGGCGCACATACGATAGGCCTAGCATCCAGCCTTATAGGCCGACCCCACAGCACCCGGTGCACGAGGTGCAAGCGGTCGCGCCGCCTCCGCCTCCTCCGACCAAGGAGCGTCCAGTGAATGAGGACCCGGGTAAGACGTCTAAGTATTGTCGTTACCACAAGTCATACACCCACAACACGGAAGAATGTTATTACTTGAAAAAAATCATGGAGGGGATCATCCAGCAAGGGACGCCGCCTCCCAACCAATGGCGAAGGAGATCTGCGACTAAGGAGGACGGCGACCCCTCGGAGGCGGGCGAAGGCAACCGCGGTAAGCAGCCGGCGACCAATGAAGGTGAAGCCCAGTGGAGACAAAATCCGGTTATCAACATGATAGTCGGCGGACCGGAAGGAGGCGACTCTGCCAACACTCGAAAGGCTTGGGCTCGGCAACTATACGTAGGGACCGTGTATGGGCGAGAAGGCGGCTCGAAGAAGGTATGTCGGGAGCCTATCGTCTTTACAGACAAAGACTTGCCTACGGGAGAAACTCCGCATCGCGACGCCCTAGTCATTGCTATGGATGTAAACGGAGTGGTCGTCCGGCGAATCCTGGTAGACACGGGGAGCAGCATCAATATCCTATATCTCGAGACTTTCACCAAAATGGGATTGGCGCGAGAACAACTGGCCTCAGTCAAGACGCCACTAGCCGGTTTCACGGGCGACTCCGTGGAGGCCGAAGGATCCATCATCCTGCCGGTTGAGATTGGCAATTACCCCGACGTACAGAAACTAGACATGAAGTTCATTGTGGTCGATCTGACATGCTCTCACAATGCGATACTAAGTCGGCCGGGTTTGGAAGATTTGGGAGCGCTAATCTCCATCGAACATCTCTGCTTGAAATTCCACACATCGAGTGGGGTAGGCACGGTCCGCTATGATAGGAGAGTCGCCCGCGACTGCTACCTACAAGCCTGCAGAGGAATGGGCAAACGGGAGATGCAAGTTCATGAGATCACGGAACGACCCCCGAAGAAGACGATGCCACCTTGCCCCGAGCCGGTCGTAGAGCTGGAGGAAGTTGAGATTGATCCTGAGCGACCAGAAAGACGAGTGAGGATAGGAGTCGGCCTCTGAGAGGAGGTACGAGAAGAGGTCATAAGAGTGCTTCGAGAAAACCGATTGGTCTTCGCGTGGGGACCCGAAGATATGCCCGGAGTGGACAGGTCTATCATCTCTCACCGGCTCGCCGTCGACCCTGGTCATCGACCTGTGATCAAGAAGAAGCGATACTTGGCTAACGATCGAAGGGAGTTCGTGAAAAAGGAGGTAAATACGCTGTTGGCCGCTGGCCATATCCGGGAAGTCAAGTATCCGGAATGGTTAGCCAATGTGGTACTCGTGCCAAAACCACCAGCTTGGCGGATGTGTGTAGATTACACTAACCTTAACAAAGCCTGCCCAAAGGACCCTTTTCCTTTGCCAAGGATTGACCAGTTGGTCGACGAGACGGCATGGTCGGCGTTACTGAGTTTTATGGATGCCTTCTAAGGGTATCACCAAATCTCAATGCTCAAGGCCGATGAGGAGAAAACGGCTTTCCTGACCCCAGATGGCGTTAACTGTTACCAGGTCATGCCCTTTGGACTCAAAAACGCGGGGGCCACGTATACACGAATGGTCGCCCGGCTGTTTCAGGATCTGTTGGGAAAATCCATGTCGGCATACGTGGATGATATGCTGGTGAAGAGTCGGGAAGAAGTTAGTCATGCCGAGGACTTAGCCGACTGCTTCCAGGTAATGCTTAAGTATAATTTACGACTTAACCCCAAGAAATGTGCCTTTGCCGTGCAAGGGGAGAAGTTCTTGGGATACATGGTAACCAAGAGAGGCATTGAGCCCAACCCCGAGAAGGTGCAGGCTATAATGGATATGCAGCCTCCCAGCACCGTTAAGGATCTGCAAGACTGACTGGTCGACTGGCCGCCCTGAGCTGCTTCCTAAGTAAGTCGGCAGACAAGACTGTGCCCTTTTTCGAGGCCATGAAGAAGAAAGAGGGTTTCGTGTGGACGGCCGAGTACCAACAATCCTTTGAAGAGCTGAAAAGGTACCTCTCCACACCTCCAGTGCTGTTCACCCCCCAGGTCGGCGAACCTTTATTCTTATACCTAGCGACGTCTCCCAAGGCTGTGAGCTCGGTACTTGTCCGAGAGGAAGAACGGTTGAGCCCGGTGTATTATGTGAGTCGCTCCCTGAAGTCGGCTGAAACTCGATACACGCCTCTGGAGAAAATACTTTATGCCTTGGTGATCACAGTGCGAAAGTTGGCACCCTACTTCCAGGCCCACACCGTCCGAGTCCTGACCGACCAACCTCTGGGAAGTGTGTTGTGAAATCCCACGTCGTCCGGGCGACTCGTGAAATGGGCAATAGAGCTGACCCAATACGGAATCGAGTACCAGCCTCACCCTTCGATTAAGGGGCAGGCCTTGGCCGACTTCTTGGTCGAGTGCACTGCGGGAGAAGATAACAAGTCGCAGTCTCGGAGGATGGCCCCGACGAATGGTGGGAGATGCACACGGATGGAGCAGCAAGTTGCCAGCACTGTGGCGGTGGAGTCATGCTAGTTACGCCCGAAGGGTTTAGGCACTACTACGCTCTGAGCTATCTGTTTCAGACATCCAATAATGAGGCCGAGTACGAGGCAGTACTGGGAGGTCTACGACTTGCCAAGACGTTAGGGGCGGACCGCCTGCGGATCAAGACTGATTCACGCTTGGTGGTGGGACAGGTGTCCGGAACCTGCGAAGCTAAAAACACCCGGATGGCCCAATACAAAGAGAAGACAGTGGAATTGTTAAAGGGATTTGTTGCGTACGAGATAGAGTAAATTTCGCGGGCCGAATACGGAGGCGGATATACTATCAAAAATCGCCTTGGAAGGCATACCGGACCATCTTGTGAGGATTTGTCAAAAGGAGGAATTGCTTCGACCCAGCATAGAAGAAACAACCACTGAGATTCAACAAGTGACAACCCAGGAATGGGACCGTGACAAAAACCCGAAAATGTTTTGGATAGAAGACATTCGTCGTTACAAAGAGAAGGGAGAACTGCCAGACGACCCCGGAGTCGCCACCCGGGTTCACCGCAAGGCTCCATCGTTCAATATTATAGACGGGCAGTTGTATAAGCGATCGTTTGGGGGTCCTCTCCTCAAATTCCTACTCAGAACGAAGGCAGAGAGGATAATGGATGAGGCCCACCGGGGAATATGCGCGACCCACCAAGGTGCTCACACTCTCGCCCGAAAGTTAGTAGTCCAAGGCTACTATTGGCCCACTATGATGAGAGATTGCATCGAGTGGATAGCCAAGTGCGTAGTCTGTCAAGCATTCGCCCGAAAGGATACTCGGCCAGCTACCTTTTATACGCAAGTCACCACAGCCATCCCCTTCGCAAAGTGGGGTATCGACCTGCTGGGTCCTCTACCGGTCGCCCCTGGGCATCTAAAGTTCTGCGTGGTAGCTATCGATTACTTCACCAAGTTGATTGAAGCCGAGCCGCTGGCCACCATCACCGAGTATCAATGTCGACGCTTTCTATGGAAGAAGGTGATCTGTCGTTTCGGGCTACCCGAACACATAGTCAGTGACAATGGTTGATAGTTCGACTGCCGACCATTCGCTGATTTTTGCCGACGACATAACATACGACATACCAAAGTGTCAGTCGCCTACCCCCAGGCTAATGGACAAGTTGAAAATGCAAATCGCACGATCGTGGACGGTATCCGGAAGAAGTTAGAAGACGTCGGAGGGAATTGGGCGGATGAACTCGACCGAGTCCTATGGGCCTATCGAACTACCCAAAGACGGGCAACCGGCGAGAGCCCTTTCTCTTTAGCATACGTCTTCGAGGCTAATGTGCCCGTAGAGGTCGTCGAGCCCACTCACAGGGTCCACAATTACTCGGACGAAGGGAACGAGGAAAACCTTAGGATCGAAAAGAACTTTTTTGGAAGAACGAAGGGAGGCCGTGCATGCCCGCATGGTGGAGTATCAGCAAACTGTGAAGAGATACCGAGATCGACGAATTCGCCCACGAACCTTCCAAGTAGGCGACCTCGTGCTGCGAGATCGGCAGGCTAGTCAACCCACGGAGGGAGGAAAGTTCGTTGTCAAGTGGGAGGGGCCCTATCGCATTGCCATTGTGCTCCAGGCCGGCACATACAAGCTAGAAACCCTAGAAGGAAAGCCCATCGATCGGATCTGGAATGTAATCCACTTGAAGAGATATTATCAGTGAAAGGTCAGTCACGTGTATTCGTTTAAAATTCGACTTTGAATAAAATGCCTACAGCTTTTCACATACTGGAAACAGTTTCTGAGATAGAAAAAGCCTAAAGGGTCGCCTCGACTGAGGGACTCGGCGAGAAGAGATAGGAAACAAGGGCACTGACCCTTAGACGTTTTCGAGAAAAAGCTTATAGGAGTCGCCTCGTTTGAGAGACTCGAAAAGAAAAGAGAGAGAAACTAGGGTTCCGACCCTAAGACGTTTCTGAGATAGAAAAAGCCTAAAGGGTGGCCTCGACTGAGGGACTCAGCAAGAAAAGAGAGAAACGACGGGGCACTGACCCTAAACTATTTCTAAGATAGAAAAAGCCTAAAGGGTCGCCTCAACCGAGGGACTCGGCAAGAAGAGAAGGAAACAAGGGCACTGACCCTTAGACGTTTCTGAGAAAAAGCCTACAGGGGTCGCCTCGACTAAGGGACTCGGCGAGAAAGGAGAGAAACGACGGGGCACTAACCCTAAACTATTTCTGAGATAGAAAAAGCCTAAAGGGTCGCCTCGACCGAGGGACTCGGCAAGAAGAGAAAGAAACGACGGGGCACTGACCCTAAACAGTTTCTAAGTAAGAAAGAGCCTAAGGGGTCACCTCGACTGAGGGACCTGGCGAGTTAGAAAGCAGAAAGAAGAAAGAAGGCCAGGGTATTGACCCTCAAAACTTTTTCGAAGGCGTCAGGTACTAGGAGTCGCCTCGGTGTAAGGACTCGGCAAAGGGAGTCTTAGTGCATGAACAGAAATTACATAAGTTAAAAAAAAAAAAAAAAAGAGAGAGAGAGAGAGAAAAGGTGCAAGAAGAGTTCCAAAGGAAGTTTCCATTCATAAAAGTCCCAAGGGGGGACTAACCCTTACAAAAGAAAAGTTCATATTATGAAAAACCTAAGCTACGGGGGAAGGTACATCAGCGTCGACCTCCTCGACTCGCTCCTCTGCCGATGTTCCAGCTGGAAGAGTAGGCGAAGGGTCTTCCGCTGAAGGCAGCGGCTCAGTCGGTACAACCGGATCCGCCACAGGAAGGGCTGCCAGAGAAGGATCAGTGGTCGCCACGGCCGCCTCAGGGGCCGACAGAAGGTCCAGCACCGGCTTGAAGCCCCAACCCTCAGGAGTAAAAGTTGGATCCCGGGCTAGAAGAAGGCCGTGTATCTCCAGCTGCGCCTCACGGAAGCCCATGCGGTAGTCGCGCTCGCCGAGATCCAACAGGTAGTCGTCTCCCTCTGGAATCGCCAGCCACTCTTTGGCCAGAGCCTCTCGACGACCCTCGACCGCCGACTTCACGTCTGCCTCAAAAGCGGCCGACTGCTTGTACTCAGCGACGGCGGCGGTGGCTGCGGCGGCGGCCTTGTCTCGCTCCGTCTCCCACTGGCGAGTGACCCTCAGGAGCTCGGCCGTGTGGACCTCCCTCGCCTTGACGAAAACAGCTTGCTCTTCTCGACGAGCCTCCTCCGATTGGTGCAGGCGATTGCAGAGGGCTTGCATTGTTGTCTTGAGTGCTCGTATCTACTTCCTCAATTTCAGCTGGAAGGTGAGATTCTGGGAAAGAGACATGTTAGCAATGATTCTAAGTAAAAAGAAAAGTGGAAGTTTAAAGTTGGAGTCAATAAGAACTTACCCGGTAGGACTGGCGTAAAGAAACCTCCAGGATGTACTCGTCTTGCATTTGATTCGCCGCCTCCAGATCCTTGGGGAGAAGAACATGCTCAGCCCATTTCTGGACCGAGTAGTTGCCCTGCCAAATCTGGGCATCTTCTTCGAGCTCCAAGCTCAGTCGGATCTTCTTAGGGGGAGGTGTG